CTTATCACTTATGCTTTCTCGCAAAATCATGTTGCTCTGATTTCTTTACCACAGAAGTCCTCATGGAAGTCAATTAAATTGGTAATCTTAATTCATGTAGAAACATTCAAACACCTGCAATCTCATTTCCTTATGAGAGTCACAGCATCTGCAATTTACCTTTTTTTTTTTTTTGGTAATTACACCTTTTTCTTCTTTTTTAAAAAGAGAGTTGTAGTAAAAATAAAAAAGGTGTTTTCTGCATGCTATGCAAGGAAAAAAAAATGAAAAAACCCCTATTCTTTTAGATAGAAAAAGGACTATTACTGAATATTGCTGACAGACTTGGTTACTCTTTAACACTAAAATGCCCTAGCGGGGCAGCAAGTTGAGTATATTTCTTTCAACTATTTCCATGCAAAATTACTGCTAGCATTGTATCAGCTCCTTTTAATTTTTTTTTTTTAATTTCTTAAATTTTGTCCCTGAAGTCAAAAGCAACAATGTTCCTGAGCTATGAAAACACTGAAGAGTAGAAAAGGCTACCTGATTGCATCTGTCATTAATGGACATTTTGCAGCATGTGACCCCCACATCAGTTCATGTGTTAGAACCATGGCTGGATGTCCTACACAGTGCGTCCTTCCCTTTTGACAATATTGTGACAAAATCCAGGTTTTGGTTGCCAGTTCTTTCAGGCAAAAGTGTGGCATTTCTGCCAGAGGCTCTCAAGACATTCATGGAGAACTGAAAAGGGCTGACGTCCCTGGAAGCAGCAAATACTTTCTGAAAATCCACCTCTTAGACCTCATGATGTAATTACCCTTCAAACACCTTTTTGTCATTGATAACAAAATGTGTGGAAACAAGAATACTTGGGACTTTTCCAGCTAAGCACGCAGGGGGAGAAAAGTGAATAAGAGTCTTCTTGGTTCTTAAAAGGAAGATAGAGCCAAAGTCTCAGCTTCTGTGATCCATGCAGATATGTTAATTTTAGAGAATTTACAAAGATTAAAGCAAGTAAATAAAAACAACCCAAAATATTTAAACTTCAGGAAATGGTAAGTGGTATTTTAAAGACAGTAGAAAGGCCATGATGTTGTTCTTTTTGTTAGTCTGTATCAGGAAATGGTAAGTGGTATTTTAAAGACAGTAGAAAGGCCATGATGTTGTTCTTTTTGTTTGTCTTAATAGTGTTGCTCTTTACAGACTAATTTCTATGGGAAACTTTAGAGCTCTTGCTCTCAGGCATTCAGTTCAATTTTATTTTAGCTTTTCTGTTACTTTAAATATTTCAGCATCAACTTATTGATATCCTAAATAGTGTAATTCCTTCTCAAGCCTTTGCTGTAGGTCAAACTTTGCTATTTTGGGTTTCATATTGTTGATCCATATACTTCAGAAGGGTCTGGAGGTGGGATTATTCTTTCCAAATGTAGAGATCTAGAATGTAGCTGTCAACATAGGAGCTAGCTGTTAAGAATTCCTCTACACTTATGGAAGAGAAGTACAAAGTTTAAAGTACAGTCAAAATAGGTCAGACAAATTGCTTTCTTCATATGTCTACTTCTCTCTGTTGACTGTACAAAAGGAGACTTGATGATGACCTCATATGTGAGTATGTGTCTTCTGGGTTTCTAAAATTAGGTGACGTCCTAGGTCACTGAAGGGTTGCTTCCCCAACTCTGCTTATTTCTTGCTAGCAAGCATCTCAGTAGACATGAAGAAGGTTCATCATGCCCTGTAATATAGACATGAAGAAGGTTCATCATGCCCTGTAATGTAATATGAATTATGAAGCTGACATATTACATTTCAAAAGTTTTAGGAGGGAAATAATAAAATGCACTGGATTTCACACCTGGTATTGAGAGCCTAAATAAAATAGATAATCAATTACATGTGGTGGGCAGCCTGGACTAGACACTGAATTATGATTAATTAAGTAATTTGATTACAACTGGTCTAAACAATTGTGGGTCAGCTTTGAAATTTGTTACTTTCCTTTCAAACCAGTGGCACACGTTGCAGAGGACCATATCAAGGAGCCTAGCAGATCAGGTTATATCTTTCTTTTTGGTGAGATCTCAATAACAGCTCAAAAGAAGGTCACTAAAAATCTTCTTTCATTCATCCTACATGGATACTCTGACTGAGATGCTGTATAACAATTCCACCCATTACCTGATATGGTGAGGTTTGATTCTGTTAAGGAGTGATTCTTTTATATCACCCTGGGAGTAGGCATATCCTGCTTCGAAAGGACTCACCATCTGTTTTTGTTGGTTCCTGAGATCATATTTTGTACTTGGCACTTATGGGCTTCTCATGATGAAATTGTCCCCACCAGTCTTCAGGCTTCTGTAGCATGGTCCACATATCAGCTAAGCACTCCAGAGTCCCTTCTTAGATAGGGAAAAGAAATGGGCATGTACAGCAGAATGTGTTTTTCCAACATACCCTTGAAGTACCTATAATTCTCCACTAGGTAACACAAAGAATCTGCTGTGGGCACCGAAACTGTCTACAGTGGACAAATGAATCCGCCTTCATAGGTGATGAATTACTTTCTTGAGTCATTAGCTGAACAAAATAAGTATCTTTTTTTTTTTTTCCCTTCCTGTATTTCAGCTGTGCTTGAAATAATACCCTGAAGCTCATTCCATTTTAGTAACAATATACTGGTTTTCAGATTCTCAGACACTTCTTTTTCACCAGAGATAATCGAAGACTTTGTTATATTGGGGAACCGAAACGTATGCATAACTGAAAGGTGAAACCCCCATGCTATTGGCTATTCAAACATCACTAATTTTAATTGCAGTAACAGATGCAGATAAAACAATAACATGAAGCACAAGTATCTCTAATTTACTAATGAAATTACAGGATTTGGCTACCAGTGACATCAGAAGACAATATGATAATTCAAGCTTCCCTTCCCTTCCCAATGCCATATTCATATATTTCTTTCTTTTCCCAATACTGAATGGAAACGGAAATGCTTTATTGCCCATAGTTTTAAGTTCATCCTTCTATGAAAACAGAACAGATAGTAGCTGTTATGAGAAAACTCACCTTTTATTGGTAATAGGTGGACTCTGGAACTCTGTATATCATACATGCTAGGAGCTGCTAAACAATATATATGGGTTCTGCTGCAGATCTGGTGCATAAGTTCACGGAACTGGTAGTTGTTATTACCTAATAAACACTTGAGTCTCTGTGGACGATATGAAGGCCTCATCCCAATTTTTGATGCAGGTTTCCATGACTACCTTGAAGGCAAAAATGAAGTCGATTCTTTTACTTTGTCTGCAAAATATGAAAGAAAGGCAATGAAATGGTTTGCAGAGGCTCTTGTCATCTCTTTAGAAGTTCCTTTGAAACTAAGATAAAACAGAAAACACACACTCTCCACTTATCAAACCTAGTGAATGCCATGTTAAAGTAAAACTGGGTCTTCAGATATTGGTGTGTATTCTAAATGTCCCCACTTTCCCGAGGGGTATCTGTCTATCTGTTTATTCAAGCATCTCCTACCCTTCTATTGCATTTAAATTGTATTTCTGCACCGTATTTAAATCTGCATTACAGTGGCAGAATCCAAGGATGGAGTTCAGTCTCCATATCACTCTCTGGACTTTCTGGACTGGCCTGCATGCAGGAGTGCAAATTATCAAGAAATAATTTCAAATCCAATGTCTGCTAATGCGCCTGTCTGGCTTTCTATCGCTTCTGTTAATGGAGTGATTTTCCTTTTCCAGCTCCTCACTGCTGAATGTCATCACAGATGTTTGCTGTCCTCCTCAGCTGAGATCTTACCAGTCCCTCATTATTTGATAAACCATCAGAAATATAGTTAAGTAATTAAATTCGGTACCAGAGTAGAGCAAGAGTGACTGATCGAGTGAGGATGGAAGAAAGCAGATCAGTTTAAAGGGAATTTTATGAATCATTGTTCTCCATTTAGTCAGGGTTTGGATAGAGAAGACAAAAGTCTGGAGAGCTTAATTTTCCTTTTTTATTTTTTAATTGGAAGACTCTCTTCATTCTAAATGCTGATATCTTGGTAGCAGGTTGAAGTCAATATAAAAATTCAGTGTCCCCTAATCATTAAAGTTCTTTTACATTTGCCTTTGTCATTCTTTTGTTTACTTTCTGTCTTTGGTCTGTTTTCTTTTCAGTGTTTTCTCCTTTGTTATATTTCCTCACATTCCCTCTGATATTTTAAGTTTTTCCAATATACGCTTGATATACGCAGGTAGGTTCTCTTGAATGAAAAACGTTTTTAAGAATCATTGTGATTTGTAGCCAGTGGGAATTTTTAAATACTGGGTTATGGCAGGAGGTACAAAGGTGGAGCTAATGTCAGGTATGCAATTCTGTTGATGTCCTAACCACCTGTGTAGCTCCTTGGCAGAGATGAAGTAATGGAAGATACACATGAACTGTCATCCATATAAGTCAGTCCTGTCTTATGTCACGGATGAATCTTTAGTCTGACAGTACAATTCATTCTTTTGCACATCTATTACTGAGTTCTCAAAAAAGCTATCAGATTATTAACAACTCTGGTCACAGATTTTGTTATCTGGATAAGTAATCTCTGGGAGTAAAACCTCATGTCATATAGGGTCCTAAAAAAGCCCCAGGCAGTTGTGCTTTTGAGACACTATTGATAATCATGGAGGTCAAATCATGAAGCAGACAGAAAGGTCTGTTTTTCTGGTTCAAAATAATCCATCCTACCTTTTCCTTTGGATACAATTCAGGTCTTTGCAGCTACAGAACCTGTTTCAGTAGCTTCTGCAATACAAGGTACTGATCATGCAGACATGTCCTTTGGCTTTAAATTATATATCCAAGACTATCTGTAACAGCTGCAATGCACACAAATGTGGTTGTTGTCTAATATGTACAATTCACAGCTCAAGTGGTGGGTTCTCTATTTTTTGTCCATTTCTTTTCATTTTCTTCCTGATTTCTGTATTTGTAATAATTTTCCCGTTTCATTGCAGAGATCTGAGCATTGACGTGAAGACCTCCACCAAAAGATCTGCAGAGAGCCTGAGCTTCAGCCCTAGTAATACTGTTAACAAGCATAACTTGACTAAAATTCAAAATTAAGAGAGAAGATGGCCATCAATTGGAAGATCTGCTTCTTCACTCTCATGATGCTTCCCATGGTAAGGAAAGACTTTTTTTTTACCTGTTACTGATATAATTTCATATTCTCAAGGCCAGCACTTGCTAAGAGTGAAGGATCTGTTGCTGACACTGATTTTGGCTTTTTCTCTGTGGCCCCATAGGTTATGTTAAGACTTTTCCGATCTCTTTTGTGGATGCAATAGAACTGTGATCAATTCTCATTCTGTAGAAGGGCAAGTCAATTCCTTGGAGGGATTTGTTTGCTGTTTGTATCTGAGATTAAAAAGAAAATAAAATAAAGTAATAGTTAAATAAAAATACTGAGGCTCCTGCTTCAAATCCACTAGTTTAAGATTTTTTTTTTCCAGGCAGAGAGGATAAAATTAGAGATTTCCATCAGCCCCGTGAAACCTAAGCCTTGAAATACTTCAGCCAGTGCTTTTGCATGCCCCCATGCTCAGAAGGCCAATTTTAAGAACCCATACAAGTGGGTCTCTAAATATACATCCCTTTTTTGAAGATCTTGGATTCCATATGAAGATTAGAGGGATTTATTTTCACCATAAGTCTTTAGTTACTAACTAACATGTTATGCCATGAATCACTCAGTCTTAACACGTGTCTGGGGATTGTTCCTCTATTCCTGCCCATTGTCCCTCTATGCATTGTGGCTGTGTCCAGCCTCACATAACAGCCATAAGACTGCTGAATAAAGCATGCTTTTTCACTTGATAAACGTGGGGAACACAGTATATAACCCCCAAAATAAACTCATCTTGCATTTCAACTCCGTTTTTTGTGAGACCATTGATCATAACTGTGATTTACATCACTTCACAAGAAGCATTGCCCAAAAAGACACTGTGGCAAACAGCACTAGTCTAAATCGCCAAATGCTTTACAATTGCTTAATATATACAGATATTCTCATGTTACTGCACTTTAATAGACACGTATTTTAAAGAATTCTTGACATATAATTTGCTTTTATTTTTAAATAAGAATGATTTAATGTGTTACCAGGGTATTTTTTAGCAGTTTTTACAGAGTTCTTTTCTTATGCACTGATTGTGTGATCTGTCTTTTCCAATGCGTAGTGGTCAGCATACAGGGCTCATCTTTATTTTGGCACACCAAAAAATACTTTCTTTCTTCTTAGGTCTTATTTAAAGACCACTTTAATTAACTACATATCTGAAATGTACCATTATTCGGCTAAATTCTGTAGAATAGAATTTGAACTGGGACTTGTGTTCTTCCAGATAATAGTCTGTTATCATGCAAATATCTAGTCTTTGAATTTCTTTCTAGTGCGTGACTCTTCTGACTATTGCCTAGATTTTCTGGTCAGGGAGAAAGTGTTATTTATGTACAAAGTGAGTATTTTTAATTTTATACTCTATCTCTGAAGTAGTTGCACTCGACTTTCTCTAAGCTAATGGGGAGGAAAAAGTCCTCAGCGTTTAACCTCTTTTAGATGCTTATGTTAGTATGAAATTCCTGCCTTCTTGACTATAAAAGGAGATTAGCTCAAATTCAGCTGCTGTGTTTTTGGACATACATTAGATTACATAAATGCACTTTGTTGCTTCCATTCTGAGACCCAGAAATGTCAACTGTCATGTCTCAGTCTCTTAGGAGATCCCATCCTACAGCTCCGCCTAGGACAGCTTCAGTGTTTCCTCATCTATAAGTGCTGGTGGGATGTATTTTACAGCAGGTGAAACTGGAATGTAGATTTGTAGAGCTGCTGACTTCCTGGATATACCCAAACATATTTTTCAGACTCGAGCAAAATTAATTAAACAGCCTTATGAATGGAAAGGCAAAAGACAGTTTTTTAAACGACCAAGATTTTTGGTGTTCAGCTTGAGACAGCCAAAAGGTGTCTTCTTATTTAGAGGTGAACAGTTTTTAATTAAAGGGAAATAAATGTGACTGAACATATCTCTTGAGCTTTCAGATGGATGACCTTCCTGGCAAATGTAGAAGGACAGCAAGTTTCCAATTCCTAGCATTTCAGGACATAACTGTGATCGCTGAGCCGGATAATTACCGATCAGCTCCAGCTTTTGGAAAGAACAGCTCTCTAATGAAATACTGTGAAGCAAACTAGAGCTAATAAGAACAAATATGTTTTTATATATGCGGTTTCTGCAATGCTTATGAGCTTGTTTATGAGTGCAAGGTTTTATTATAGTCTCTTGCAAGAACTCGGGTACTAAAATTAACAATTTTACACACATGAACTTGGGTATATGCACACACATTTCTTTGGTCAGTGAAGACACTTATGCCTATGATGGAGATTGTGCCATAATTTGTGTATCGTATTAATTCTTTATTACCTCCCTAAAGTTTCGTTTTAGAGAATGGAGCTCAGGAATGGTATAATGTTACTTATGCTTCCTCGCTTGCTGGGACTTCTTTGTAATGCTTGTGCTAACACATTTTGTCTCCATTGGGACACAGACTTTCCCCTCAAACCACCTCTAATGTGCTGAGATGGTGTCCTCAAATTGGTACTTTTCTGTCATGCAGATTTTCAGATTTTCTGCTGAGGGAGTGGATGTGATTAAATTTAAATTTCATACAAGCCTCCAAGAAGTGCCTGGAAAAAAAAAATCTTCTTTTACATTGCTTTCCTCTAAACACAACTAACACTGTTGAAGAAATCTCCAATTGCTCTCCAGGAGAGCTCCTGTTCTCAGCAGTTGGGATTGATCTCCTTTTTGTGGCCCTTGCCTCCAGTTCTTGCAGTCAGTGGGGTCCAATAGTTCGTGAACTTGTACATCTGCCTGGATATGCAATTTTTTGGCTTCAACAATAGATAGCCCACTTTACCCACAGAAAATGTCCACATTCATAAACAGGTTATGAAAAGACAAAAAAAGGACAAAATGCATTAATGGAAAATTCTGGGGGACCTCAAGTATGGACTCATACCAGACAATACGAAAATAATATGCTAATATATAACTCCAATTTAGGATTTTAAGCCAACTCTAACTATCAGAGACTAGCATGGTTAGATTTTTCATGTGTTTAAACAGCCTATTCTGTATTTGCCTGTCACAAAGGCATTCCACCTTCTTATTAATCACTTGGGACTGAAGGCAGGATCCAGATGCGTGATAACTTGGTAGATCTTTTAGAGGAATTCTTGAACTTTATTTTTTTTCCCATTTAAAATGCTTTCCTAGCTTTAAATATCTGTATAACTATTTTAGCTGGTTTTAGTCTTTTTGTTGTTGTTGTTATTAGCTAGCTACTTCTTTTCAATCTCTCTCATTCTTTTTTTTTTTTGTTTTGTCTGAACATCTTCTCTTTTCATTTGAACATCAATTTTCTTTATCCTACCATTTTTTTTTCTTCTGAATTCACTTTGACTGCCATTTTGATTGATTTCTCATTCCATTCACCTCCGATTACAGTGGGCTTCATTTTTTTATTGGAAATATTAAGAAAAGTCATCATAAAATTATTGAGGAGATAGGATCCTATACCACCGTTCCTTTGTCTGGTTCCAAATGTACTTGAGAAACAATGAAATTCATGACTCACAAAGTTGGCTTAGTATATGAACTGAATTTTAAATGTAACTGCAATGCAGGTGTTCTAACTGTCTGTAATAATTCAATCAGATGTATTTTTTCAGCTAATACTTGGAATTTCTTCTGGGTGTGTTTTTCCTACTCCTAAGCTTAAATGTTTCAAATGGTAAGACATTCTTTGTAGTGTTTCATTAGCTGGCAAACATACGTTCATTGACTTCCTTAAAAAAAGAAAAAAAAAAGAAAAAAAGAAAAAACAAACAAAAATAGAGAAATGAAAAGGAAAGGTGTAAGTGATGCCTCTTGTTTACCAACATTGAAGTGTGATCACTGTGTGAGGGTCAGATGGGCAAATACAGATTAGGATGTGCAGGCAGCATCTCACAGATCAGAGAATGGAACCTCGATCTGATTACGTTTAAGCAATTCACTAAGGGTGAAGAGAAGAACTAGATGTGTTTGATCAGACCCTGTTTACTGAAAGGGGTAATATTTCTCAATCTTTTAAGGGTGTCTTATAGTCTACAGAGCAGACAGCTGTCTGTAGCCTCCATTATTCATTTCTAGCTGTCACTTCCAGTGCCAGGCTATGTTCAAATAGGATCATCTACATTTCAGTCCCTGTCATTTTTCAAAGATGAGAGACAGTGTATTCAGACACACTATTCTACTAGTTTCTCTTCAACCCTGCTACGTTTGTTAGAGCATCCATTTTCTGCTGCAGCCCAAACGTGAGAATATCAGGCACAAACATAGATGCTTGTGTTGGTCCCTGTTCTTTAAGCAACCTATTTTTTCCATGCAGGACTTAATGAGACAGCTTTTAATGAGTTTATCCGCCTTATGATTTGTACCATTTCATAACCCTATTAGAGAAGTCAAGTTCTCTGTAGGATTGCAACTGTCTCTAACATAACGCACAGTTGCATGGGACTTTGCTGTTACTTATGTAATGCAAATAAAATTATGTACAAATATAGCTGGGGAACTGCTAGGAATGTTCTCCAGAGGGGAAAAAACTCAGCTAGCCAAGATGTTACTGCTGCTATAGCATTTCCTTTTCAATATAAAGAGATGGTGCTGGAGACAATCAGCAGAATATAACAACCTCTTAAAAGCCTATGCCTTGTTTAGAAAAGGAAAAAAAAAGGCTCAGGATGTGTAATATTGGGTAAGAGAGTTTCAGAGAGAAGGTTCAGAATTTCTGGTAAGGTCTATCACAAAAAGCATCTGAAAAAATCTGTGTTGCAAAGCAATCAATGACAGTGTCCCTGATACCAACCAACTTCAAGTACCTTTCAGAGGCACAAAAATTAGGATCCTAGGTTCCAGATGGTCCTTATCCTGCCAGCTAGGTGGATAGGTACTTACAGAGAGTGACAGAGTGATGTATGTCTCAAGGTATAGCTCCACTTGAGATGTCTATGAGTCCCTGGGTTTTTCTGAGAAAGCCCAGCATGTTGAAACTCCTGTCTAAGACGCCT